GTTCTAGTAACTCATCACACTGTGATCTACATAACCTCTGCTGATAATTGACTAGAGTCAGTATGCTCACTGTTCAAATATTTAACATTCATCAACATTATTGTACTTGGTGTCTGAGTAACCTTTTTCAAAGTTGACTCTATTCACTGTCTATTTCTATTACATTTTTCATAATATTAAGTCTGTTTTTTGTTTGTTTTGTTGTTGTTGTTGTTGTTTTTTCAGGTACTGCTTTTGTGCATTCAGCCTGTAATTCTCAAAACTTTGTGCTTGTTTTCTCATTTAGCTAATGGGTAGTTCTCAACAGAGTAAAATAAAACCTTGCTTTCAAATGAAGGTTATTTGTAATACAAAAGGATGTATTTCGATTGCAGGCTATAGAGTAATTTAAGAATACACAAGACAGTTTTAAGTAATGATAAGGGAGCTAAAATCAGTTCATCAGCAATATAGCCCTTTACTTGAGTTAATTTAACCAGCAAAGCAGAGAAAACTTCAGCTCATTGACTAGGAGGTTTTTCCACCTCATGGTGTGGAACAGCAATGAAAAATCATGAATCCATGACACCTGAGACACTGCAATACTTGGCACGTTTCAGACATGTGACAGACTTAGCACAGAGGTGTCAGAACTGGAGCGGAATAAAAATTATGGCTTCTTAAGGATTCTCAAACATGATGTGTTATATCCACTGCTTGAAGTTAAGAGTGATCTTAAATTTAGCTTTACTCAGAGCAATTTAAATAGGATTCATATCTTGTTCCTAAATAAAAAGCCTGTAAGCTTTTCATTTGAGAATGAACCCCTTAGAAATATCAATGGAAAAAATGCAAAGAAGGGGATGATTTAAAAATGATGAAGGCATTCTTTTATTGCTGCATTTTTCACATATTTTGTTACCTTAATAAAAGAGAATGATAAAAGTTTTCAGCATTGATTTCTAATGAGAAAAGGTATTGTTCCACTAGACCAAATGTAATATTTGATGACTGCTATTATACCTAACAAACAATGTAAACAAGGTACCACTTCTTTTTATATTTTGTTTTCTCATATTTTACTTATGTTACTTACAGGATAAGCCATTGGGACTCTTTGTAACCTGGCATCTTCTGAACATGAAATACTGGATTATCGCACAACGCAACATAATGGAAACTACACACTTGATGAGATTTGAGTCATTAATTACAAAGCAGCACTAATGACATAGTAGATGGTTACTTCATTAAGAACAAACATCAACTGAATTTCATTCTAGTGTCCAAGGTTTTTGTCTGAGCTCTAATTTGACCTCAAAAAGCATGGTGAAAAATTATTCCCATAATTTCACTTTGTAAATAAGAGTGAAAAACATTGTTCAGTTTGATTGTGAGCTAGACATAAGCAGCTGGATTCTATGAACAAAAATGTAGTTTCTAATGCATTTAACCAGTGTACAAAAAGAATATATTAAAACATACAGGCCAGTAAAATTGTTTCAACTTTATAATTGTAGAAGAAAGATGTCTGTGTAGTTATTTTCCTTTGGAAGTTCTGTATTGATTACTACCAAAACACTGTTGCATATTTTTGATCAGAATTACCTCGCTATTGTATATCTTCTAAATTATAACATTCTGTAGAAAAGCCATTCTCCCACAAACAGAAATTGTAAAAAACAAACAACAACAACAAAAAGAACACTTAAAACCAACAAAATAATCCCACACAAACAACAAACAAATTAATAAAATCTGTCATTAAATTGATTACTTTTTTTTCATCCAGGTTCCATAATTGGAGGCAGCGATTTTATCAGCTCAGGCACCAAACTTTAACAGACTCACTTCTTGGTTACAAAACCCAGAAGCAATATAAAAATGGGAGATATTCAGGGACTTTTCTGAATTTTCAAATGCACTGTTCTGACAGTCAAAATGAAGAAAGTAATAAATCTGCATTTTTTTTAGTGATAATACAGTTGACCTATTACTGCTGATTACTTAAGAATCTGTCTTGTTGACACATTTCATTGCAAGAGTTCCTTTTCATTTTTCTTTTGGAAGAACAATAAATGAATTAATTTTTTTTTCTTTATCTTATTTCTACTGTAGAAAATTATTGGCCAATATGTGCATGTCTGATAAGAGTAGCAGAAGAAACACAGGACCAGGATGAAGAGTACACAAGAAAGAAGAGATGCGAAGATATATATAGGTAATATAATCGAGGTTAATACTAGCAAAAATCAAGATATTTAATTGGTATTTATATATATATATAATAAGTACAACACTTTGTGGCCAAAAATGTTTAGATAAACTCTAGTAGGCACAAATTCTTGTTTTAGTAGCTTACAGGTTACATTTGCAATTGCTGCCCCTCCTCAGAGGAAGGCCAGGCACCATGCTGGGCAGGAGGAACTGACAGATGGCTCTAAGAGGGCAGTTTCAAGACGGTTTAGATTAGAGGATTAAGGCTGGAGCAACCTGCTGGAGGAGGGAAGAATTTGGAAGGGCACCAAGAAGTGCACTAATGTGAATACCAGCTGCAGCTACAGCAGCTTTTTAAATAGTTGCTTTAATTACAAATCATTTTGGAATACAAATTTGGTGTCCTTTCTAATTACTCAGTATGAGGTACAAGAAACATGGTGGCAAAGGTCAATCTAAAAAGACTCTGAGCATGAAAAATACTGTGGTTAGCATGAAAACAAACCAGAATGAAAATGAGAAGCAGACAGCACAGAGCTTTATTCTAGACAAAAACTCCCCTACAGGCATGGAAGCAAACACCACATTTGTACTGAGAGCTGCCTATAGGACATAGAGATGAAAAAAAATAAAGGCAAAGTTTTTTTTTTTTTTTTTACTATGTTACTGGGAAAAAAATAACAAGTGATGCCACCTCCAGGAATAATGCCTGAAGCACTGAAGGGGTGTTCCTGTGTGACTGATGAATACTAAAGCCTATAAAACACAGACTGTACAGAAATAAAATTCATAAGTATCATAAGTAGAAGGAAGAGATCCACTACAAAATACACTCGAATTGGCTATGGGAATCTAGAAGGCAAAAAATGCTAGAGAGACCTAAAAAGCTGAACTGCGCACTGTATAACAGAGCATATAAATTTGGAGACCATTCCTTTGGTCTCCAAAGTGCTTGTTAAACTGAACTTGCTGTATCACAGCACTGTTTCCACTCTGGGAAGGCATCAATACAACCTGAATGCTTAGAATAAAAGAGTGACACTTGCAGTGTTGCTGCAGACTATCTGAACATTGCTCAGATGCTGCAGCAGACAGCACGTGACACAAGTGATGAATTTGCAGCTATGCTTTTACATCAAGAGCCAATTGAACCTTACTGTATGTTGCCACATACTGTCATGACAAATAACTGCAATAATGACAAGTGCGCTTAAACTATTCCGTCTGTGAAACCCAGTATCTGAAATGTCTCATTCCCTGCAAGTGATATTTCACTTCTCAATTGCTCAGTAGATGTCTGCAGAGTCCAAAAGTGAAAAACTATGTTTACATCATTCCAATGCTGTCAGATTCATGACAGGAATGTTCTTTCCTTTTTTGTTACATAGCAAATCATATACAATGAAAAGAATATTAATAAAACTATAGTAAAATATTTCAAAGAATGCCATGATTAAGGTTGCTTGTGATGCACATTTTAGAAGGTTCAGAAGTTTTCAAGTGAATTTGATGTGGGTTTTTTGTTGTTGTTGTTGTTTAAGTTTTATTAAGAAAACAAAAAAATGTTAATTACTTCTTGTGCCAGGAAAGATTCCTTGTAAGGAATTGTTCTTTCTAGTGGTAAAATTTGACTTAACTTTTCATTCAGTATGAACAACAGATTCAGAGAATGGCTTGAGTTGGAAGGGACCTTAAAGACCACTTCCAACTCTCTGCTGTGGGCAGGGTGCCACCCACTAGACAAGGTTGCCCACACAGGAGCTAAAAAGTAGTGAAGGACCACCCAAGTCAAAGAACACAAAATTAGCTCACCAGCTTATAAAACTGGATGAGGATATGCTCTGAAAGATAGCTGCCTGTCCTTTGGGATCAGTGACGCATCCTGAACTCATCTGAGAACGATAAAAGCAGAAACAATTGAAAGGGCAAGCAGAAATCTTACACTTGGACCCATTTTAAATTCATGTAGCATTCTGGAGCGAGAGGCTTCATAACGTGGCTTACAAGTAGGGACAAACAGACACAGATAGCCACAGCAGTTCTCAGTGCGTTCATAATAAGCTCACAAAAGAGATGTGCTCAAGCATAACAGGAGCTGGTGACTGTTGTCTTTGAAAGGCAAAAAGCTCATTGGCTGTAGGCACAAAATTTAATCTAATCACAGGTGATTATGTTTATCACGAGGAAACCAGTCATGATTTCAAACAGCAAATGTAACATTACTGAAATTCCAACACCAATATATTAAAATATGCTGCTGTCTGAAAAGTCATTACTGACGACAAATACATGGAGCAGGAAATAGCTTCCACGGTCCAGGGCAGATTCTGTATCTTGTAATAGAAGGCATCGGGTAACTGAGCAAAGACACTGAAAAGGTGAGTTAGTGGAAATCAAAAGATCATACCAAACGGTTTGGTAGATTGTGTTACAAGCCTGATGATTCACTGGCTCTGGCGGATGAGCCATGTGTGCTAAAGGCAAGGCTATAGCAAGACATCTTGACATAAGATCTGCTCTCATTCCTCTGCTCCTTTCCTCCAGCCCCCCTGAAGCTGCTCCGCTCTGCATCCTGCCCTCACCGTACCTCCACAACACCCAGCGACTCGAGCTCATTTCTGGTACGTAAAAAGCGCACGTAAGCCCGCACTTTGAGTATGTAATCGCTCGGCACAGCTCGGAGCCGGGGGTCGCTCCCGGTCTCCCCGCGGAGCAGCAGCTGCGCCTCTCTCGCCGGGGCGGCACCGCGGAGCATGCGCAGAGGCCGCTTCGCCCCTTCCGGCAGCGCAGCGGAGCGGGGCAACATGGCCGCCGCCGTGCCCGCCGCCCGCTGGGCCAGAGCCGCCGTCGTAGCGGCGTTGCTCCTGGAGTGCTGCGGCGCGGTGCTCGCCAGCGGCATCCAGGTACGAGGGCTGGAAGGAGAGCGGTGGTGGGGACAGAGGGCAAGTGGTGCCGCAGACTCCGTTCTGCTACCTGGGCGCTGCTTCCTTCATCTTGCCGGCGCTCGTCGGAGCGCGCGAGCCCGAACTGCCCCTGGTGGGGTGGAGCCCCGCCTCGCTCCGCCCCAGCGCGGCTGCGGTGCCGCTGCCTCGGGGGTGGGGTGTGGTGCAGGAGCGCGAGCACGTGCGGCTTGCTTAGAGAGCGAGAAGAGTTGTTGAAAAACCCTCCTTTCTTTTAATACGTTCGCTGCCTCCTGAAATGCAGTTTTGCTGTGGTCATGCAGTATAACTTTCAGTTGCGCAGGCTCTCTTTGCCTTTCTGGACATTTGCAAAGCCGTGTGTGAATAAAGAGTTCCCCTGGCCTTCATGCTGCAGTTCTGCCTGCTGTGAGCGAGTCTGCGGGCCGCATCGCCTGCTGCGTTGATTTCTTATATCAGTAATGTGCTTTTTGCACAGTGCACGCATTGCTCCTGGAGCTCCGGTCCCGCTCCGTGTCCTGATGCTTGCAGTCTGCAAAGCCTGTGGGGAGCCGTGACCGATTGAGGTAGTGGACTGCTATTGTCCTGGCTCCTTGTTTCTAAACATGGGGCATAAAGTATAGGTTGACTTCTCTGCTAGAAACAAGACTAAGGACTTTTTCTGAAGAAACAAAAGGAACAATAAAATAGAACTTCACCCAAGCTCTTTACCTCACTAGGAAAGAAATTGTAAGTCAGTAAATCAGTGTATTTTGTTCTTGGAGCATACTGTGGTATAGACACACGTAGGCTTTCCTTGTTAACTAAGCTGAAAGTGACTAATGGATCTTCTTGTTGTTTAGCAAGTTTCAGGAAACTTTAGTTACAGTTATCTTGGGTAGAATGTGTGACGTGGGATAAGAAAAATCTCTGGCTTTGAAGCTTTGGTAAATTTTATTTTAGGTATGCTAAGTCCAAGAAATCAAATATGCTTTGTTTTGTGGAAACAAAAATAGAAATGATCGTTTCTTTCTTTCTACTGAAAAACATCTAATATTGTCTCCATCTCTCAGGATCGAGCAGAACAGTTCTTCAAAAGCGGGCATACAAATAACTGGGCAGTTCTGGTAAGTGTAGTTCTGGCAAATTCTACAAAAAAAGGTTTTCAGTTTTTCATAATGTACTGTATTTGCAACAGTTGTGCAGTAATTCTGTTTGTTTGAAAGAAATGGAATGGAAGGATAAAGACTTGGAAATAAATAAATTTGAAGTGATCCCTGCAAATCTATTAACTGTAATAAAATTATCTGTTCCATGTAATTACACATCAAGCACTCAGAACATAGAGTTACATGGCAGATTTCATTAAAGTAAAGTTCAACAGCATTAAAACAGTTAAATTATCACAATGCATATTGAATTAGCATGTAGTTATGATATCAGAGAGGTATGTCTCTTTGATGAGGAAGGTATAATTTGTTTCTGATTTGTGTATCCTTAGTCAATCTGTTAACTTGTGATAACAGGCTTAGAATAAAATAAATTGAGGAGACATAATGTTTAAATCAATAGTTGTTAATTTTTTTTCTTTGCCATGAATCTTTTATTAACTTTGAATCATACTGCAGAATTGGTTCTTAATCACAGCTCAGGTCTTAATGACTAATTTGTTTCAGAACACTATCATGATTACTTGGTAGCAGATGTTTGTTTTACAGATACTAAAATTTAGCAACATAAAATGAAAGTAAATAGTAATGAATTGAATTAGAAGGAATAATTTCTGTAAAGTACAAACTAGAAACTATTAAAACATCAAGTTTTTTTTTTTAATGCTATTAACAAATAAACATTTTTGTTTGAGTGCTTAAAAAAAAAGATGAAGTGGAATGTTCTGTCTGAATAACTATACTTTCTATCCTCAACAGATTCTCTGCAAATTATATATTTTTAAACAGTTCATGATTTGTCTTTTTAACAATTATTACAGATTTTTTAAGTGATAAAATAGGGAGGATTTGGCTGCCATCAATGGCTTCGAGCCTGGGCATGTTTTCTACTGTGTTGTAAGAGGTAATGGAGGGGATGATAAAAGTCACAGCTGTATTTGCTGGGGTCAGTTTTTAGAGCTGTGAGTCTTGCTGCAAGGCAAATGTACACGTGGGAGTTTTTGAAATTTGTAACTGAATGGACTTGAAAATCCTTCCAGACTGAATTTGGATTTTAAGTTTCTTTAAGTATAGAAAAAAAGATGTTAGATGGCACAAATTTGCTTAAAGATATTTCTATTTAATTTGGAATTGAGGAATTTAAACTGTCTGAAATGCTATGGTCATTCCTTCTTTTCTATTTTTCTGCTTTTAAAATCAGGTCTTTTATAAAGCTTTTTTCTTCATCTGTCTGAAAGATTGGTAAAGCAAAAGGAATTTTTCTGCAAAAGAAAGTTGCTGTTGATGTAGAACAAATGAAAAGTAGTGAAGTTGATGTAAACACAAGGACAGCGATAAGGCCGGCAAGGAACTGCTGCAGATTACCTCTGAAAATTTTGGAATCTCATTGGTTTGGAGTTTTTGAGGACAGATCAAATAATGTCTCACCTAGGGAATTGATCTCTTCCAGCCTTAATGATGCTGTGGATGACTCATCCCCAACCCTTCACCTTGTTAATCTAACTGAACTCCTTTGAAATTTTTTGAGACTTTGTGTTCAGATTTTGGTTAGAGTTTATGTAGCTCTTTATTATGTTTGACTCCTTAAATGCAAAGTACTCTCATTGTATTTTCCCCAGTGTGGTTTCTGCATGAATTCACTTATGCATTTATGCAGTCGTGCTCCCAGAAGGGGTTTGCTATAGAGATGAAAACTCTTCCTTAGATTTTTCTTTTATTGGCTATGGAGACAGTAAGAGGAAATAGAATAGCTTATCTGCTCACTGTTCTTGCTGGTTTATTCCCTAAAATGGCTTTTTCTATGCTTAGTTGGGTTTTATGTCAATTTTGTCATGAGCAAACACATAAAACGCATTTTTTTTTTTAACATTTATTTTCCACATTTATTTCTTTGGTACAGCAAAGGTTTACATGTATATAGCTTACATCATGACTTTCTTGATGTTGCTGTTTTCTTTCTGATTTGTTACTTTGTTCAATACCTGTTATCAGTGTCTTCTGATGCATAAGCCAGGCCTCTTTGTATATTTTACACTACTTAATGTGGTGCTGTTTTTTCTCTTTCCTTGAAAATTCAAGGTATGTACGTCTCGATTCTGGTTTAATTACCGTCACGTGGCAAACACTCTTTCAGTATACAGAAGTGTCAAGAGATTGGGCATTCCTGACAGGTGAGGGGATCTTGGTGAATGCAGTTCCTTTCACATGTGCTATTAAAGTCTTTCTGCTGTCTGAAGCAGTATGAAAATACATTTTTCTTCCCTAAGTTAACTTAGAAATAAACATTTATCACGATTCTTAGGTGTGCTCTTTTGTGTTGGGGTTTGCTTGTTTGTTTTGAAAGGATTTTTTCCTTGTTTTAAATGGAACTGTCTGGTGGTTTAAATTGCTTGTCATCTAACAGAAGAATTCATTGGGAAAATGGTTTGTGCGTCTATGAATATAGGTTGCTCTGATTTGCTGATGCATGGGCACAATGATTCAGTTTGTAAGAGGAAAGTTCTGCTAGGATAAAACTAAACCTAAATGAGTTAAGGAATAGTTTTTGATTGCTGGAATCATTATGTGGTTTAAGTTTTACAGTATGGGAATAGCAGTAACATACATGATTGGATTACTTTAGTTTAACAGTTAAGCAGCAAATTAACACCAAAATTGTTTTGCTGGATGTATGGACAGTGTGTTTTTTAAGAGTGCATATGGTGCATGTTTGTGCTCAACTGTCTGCATTTTATTCCAAGTGAAGTAATTTACTTTGATTATTTTTGAGGATCTGTGCTTCAGTTATTTTGGGTAGCATTTATCTTTCTAGCGTGTGGAGTGTATCAGCACTTAATGAGCAACAGAATTACTCTTAAAATACTCATGTAGGCAAACAGGCGGTGACATAGGTAAACAAACAGTGACCTCTTGGTGTTTCGTGTATTGACCAAATCCTGGCCCTGCCACATGTAGATGTCTGGCTACATGCAGGTTGGTACAGTGTTCTAATAGTCCTTCAGGTGATAATTTTTTTTGTTTTTAATGTTACTGTGAAAAAGACAAAACCTATCAGCTGTCAACTCATTTGTGTTCCATAGAAGAATTTCCGGTTAGTGCTACTAACCATGCGGCACTGTATCAGATGTAGTCTAATAGTTTGAAGAATGTTTGTGAGCTCCTCAGATTTAATGAACAAAATGATTCTCATTATGTTTTTAATTGATCTACTTGAAAGGGCACAGACAGGCTGGGATTTCTTCTGTGGAACTGTATGAAGTGATTTAGCCCTGTTCTGTCACCTAGCTCTATGCGAGTCTGTACCATAGAGTTGCTAGTGTTAACTGCATATTCAGCTTTGGCCTGAGTGAAACCTGTTGCTAGATAGCAGCTAGCTGCATTTCCCTCTGTGATAACTCTATCAGTGAGTGTGTTCATAAGGAAATACCATGTAACTAAGCAAATCTTCACTTACAATGACAGGCATCTTCTTGAGTCATAAGCTACTCTTTTAATCATGGGATAATTTTCTTGTAATTTCCTTCAGATTTATGTCTTCCTTGTATTTCACAGTCACATTGTCCTGATGCTGGCAGATGATATGGCATGTAATCCCAGGAATCCTAAACCAGCTACTGTGTTTAGCCATAAAAACATGGAGCTAAATGTCTATGGAGATGATGTAGAAGTGGATTACAGAAGCTATGAGGTAGCCATGCTTTAAATTATTGGATCTATATTTTTATATCTTGCAAATGCTCAACACCTATGTGAAACTTTCAGTGTGCAAATGAAATGTGCTGTAGCTATTTGTATTTCTAATCTTAAGCTTATGCTTTTATTAAAAAAAACACTAAATGCCATAACCTACTTTTTTTTGTAAAATAGTTACTATGTAGAAATCTATGTTCTATTGTCTTTTTATTTTTGTGTCATATTCTTTCAAATAGTTTACCAGGAGATCTTAAAGCAGACAACAAATAAATGATTTAATAGTGCTGAATAATAGTTGATGAAAGTTTATAGGAGCATCTAAAGGCATACATAAGATGTGAAGCTTTGTATAAAGAGATGAAGATACTGAACCAAAATGGAAATGTGCTGGTTTTTTCTTATGTTCTTTCCTGAGTATGGATTTTTGCTAGCGTTTGCTGCGTGTGTCTGCATGGACAGCAAATGGAGTTTTATAGGAGGTTTTACGATCACCATCTTGATGATATCTGATCACACAAAGACTTATGTAACTGAAATTGATCTTGTTTTTCCTTTCCTGAGTTGCAGAAGTAATTTAAACTTTTATTTTTCCATGGCAACACACAGAAATGTTGGAGCATTTTGTGAGCACGTGAGCAGCTTTGACAGAACAAAGGTATACACTGACAGGCTTTCAAATCAATGGAAAACGTATTTAGAAATTAAAATGATAGTAGTCTTATTGGGTATAGTAGAACACCAAGCTGATATTAGTGAGATATAATAAGAGATGCTGTGTAATTGTGAGCCTTACTGCAGTAAAAGTCTTGAACAAGAAGATGTCTGTTGATGCAGTTTATACCATACAGTATTGCATCTTACTGGGTACTCTGCATGTTGTATTGTTCCATTATATTTTTTTTTTATGTAATCCAACCTAGAATTGTTGACCCATATTTTTATCTCTAAAAAATTACTTTATGCTTCTATTCTTAGGTTACTGTGGAAAATTTCTTGCGTGTGTTAACAGGAAGAATCCCACCAAGCACTCCCCGATCTAAACGTCTTCTTTCTGATGACAGAAGCAATATTCTAATATATATGACAGGTAATTGGAGTTTTGTGTATACACTTCTACTGACATTTATTGTTCAGTTGGATGGATCTGTATGAAAGCATGAATTCTCATGAGGAGCCCAAACAAAAAAAAAAAAAAAGGATTGACAAATGATTTTTTTCCTTAACATGTCATACTAACAAAGAAAACCTGTAAGACTGTACTTATTAAATGTAGTTTCCAGTCTAAATTATATTTTTACTGTCCTTGTGCTGAAGTTTTATTGGAGCAAAACAATTGTTTGTTTATTTTTTAAGAAAGGTGATCACCCAGACTAAATATCTTTCCTTAACCTACATACTTGCCTAATTGTATATTTTCTATTAGGCCATGGTGGGAATGGTTTCCTAAAATTTCAAGATTCTGAAGAAATCACAAATGTAGAACTTGCTGATGCCTTTGAACAAATGTGGCAGAAAAGAAGGTAATAAGAATGTATTATTTAGAGGTTAAATACTGTATTTCATTAACATGCCTGAAATCTTACTGGTAGGCCTTACTGAACTTTCAACAGTGATGCTGTTTGCCGTCCATAAAATTAGGTGAAAATTTACATTCAGAAAGAAGAGTTTTAAATTTCACTGTCAGCTTCCTACTGTGAGAACTTCCCCTAGAATTGATTTGGCTGAACTTGCCATTTTAAAATCAATCAGTGCAAAGTCTTCTGTTCCTTAGGTTGGTAGTAGCTATCCTGGTGACTAGAAAGCAAAGTTCCTATATTTCAATCTGAAGAAAATTGAGTAAGAGGGCTGTTTTGTTTCTTTTAGGTACAATGAACTGTTGTTTATCATTGATACTTGTCAAGGAGCATCCATGTATGAACGATTTTATTCACCTAATATAATTGCCTTGGCTAGCAGCCAAGTAGGAGAAGATTCGTTATCAGTAAGTACATTTTTGTGGTCCTGAAGATGATTTTCAGAATATCTGAGTGAGTTAACAGTACAGCCATTGCTGCTTTTTTTTTTTTTAATAACTAAAATTTTCTTTCTAATTGTGTACTGTATAATGTGTTTTGTTATAAAGTGCAGCTTTGACAAAACTGTAAGGTGTATCTTCCTGCTTTTGTGGGCTGTCACAAAGAAACAGGCTAATATGTTTTACTTTTTGATGTTTTCTATCACAGAAATAATAGCAAAAATCATTTCATAGTATATTTTATACATGTAAAATAACAGAAAATTATAATTGACAATGCAAAAGGTATTGTACATGTAAGGAAGATGATGACTCTCCTCTTCCTTTGTCTACATGTTGATTTTTAGCTCTGCCTATCAACACTAGCTTTTATTTGTGTATCTTCAACTGACACTATCTTGCTCAGTTCCAGTTCAGTTCTAAAAAGTTTTCAAGGACTTGGAAAGGTTTACAGAAATTCTGAGGACCCACACGTCCGGTGAAAAGGAAGAGGCAAATCATCTTCAGCTAATTGCTGATAGTTAAAAGTGGTGATAGAATTCTGTGCTTCCTGGTCAATTTATACGTTACCTAGATTGGGCAAAAATGTTATGGAAAGACCTATGAGAGATCTGAGAGGGGAATATTCAGTCTTGTGTTTCTTATACTTGGTATATGAAAAATGGGGTATACTTATACCCCATTGACATTACAGAAAGAATGATAGGAAAGAGATCCAGGCCAAACTGAAAATAAGCTCTCTTTCTCAGCTCTGTTTTCCAAGCCCTAGGAAGCTGGGGATGGTACATAAATTCACTGGACTTCTAAGAAGGGAATTCCCAGCTTATTGTCTAGATGTAGTCTAGAAAAATGAAAATGATCTATATGTTACATAGTTCACCACCAGAATATTTCTTCATGAGTAGTAATTTGCTTTGTGTAATTTTCCTAGGAACAAATAACACATTATGCTTAACTTTTGTAACATGCTATTATATGCTGTTCCCTTCTCTAAATACTGAGTTCTGTTCTGCAAATGCCCTGTAACTGTTTCATATTATTTTGTAGCATCAACCTGATCTTGGGATTGGTGTTCATCTTATGGACAGATACACTTTTTACATGCTGGAATTCTTGGAAGAAGTTCATCCAGCCAGTCAGACAAATATGAATGACCTTGTAAGTAGAATCTCAACGCTCAGTAATTTATTTTTTCATGGTGTTCTCCAAATGCTTTCTGTACAACTACTGTTTGTCTTAGAAGTAGCTTTGTGGGGAGGGCCTTTCTGCCATTATTAAGCAAAACAGTAGTGTAACATTTAGAGGATTGTCCTTTGTGTGAAAGTGGCTTATTGGCTACAGAAAAAAGTTAACCAAAACTAGCCGTTAAAAAAAAAATCATTGAAAAATAAATAAAATTCATTAAATATTTAAATAAAATGATTGTGCATAAAAAACAATAGTTGGAAACTTCTGAAATATGTAAAATCAACTTAATGGATAACAGGCACTTTGTGGATATGGAAAGGCAACCATTGGAAGAATTTTGCAAAGTTGATTAAACAGTTAAAATTCTATTTGTGCACTCACAAATGCCTATAGAGGCTGATTTCTCCACTTAGCTTCCAGACCAAGAGATGTCTAAATCTGTCTGTGTCTGGAGTATATTATATCTTAGGTGAGTACTGAATGAAGCTTTCAGTTAAGAAGCAGTAAAAAAAAAACAACCAAGATAATCTAAGGTAAAATGTCTGCAAACGCCCTTGTAACAGTTAGATATATGCACTGATAAAGTTGCGTAAAAGGTGGCCATCTTTTATTATTTTATTAACCCTTCATGCCTGTTCCAAGGCTAATTTTACTATAGTTGTATGTTCTGCTGTGTTGCCTTGTAGCTGATGCCATGACTGTATCAATGATCTAGGCGCACCATTGACTGTGCACACTGTGTTTGATTCATTTGTGTAAATGGAGCATCTACTCCTTTGTCTACAGAGGCTTGTCCTAGGCTGGTTGTCAAATCTGTAGTAGAATTCAGTCTAAACAGCTCCCACTTAACAGATTTTATGTTGATATAGAATTGATTCAGTGACTAAGATTCATAATTCCTTTACTGGAATGAGAATGAAACTGGCTTGTAATTTAGTACCTGTCTGATCACGAAATACAAAAAACCTTAAAATCAATCTTGTTAAAGAAGAATATGCAAGTTTTTTATTGACAGCACTTCTGCTTCTACCTTGTTCATTCAAACAGCATTCTAGAATTCTGTTTTGTAAACTAGAAAATGAATTGACATTAAATAAAAAAAGATATTAGATATTAGTTCAGGTATTGTCAACAGTACAGAAAATGTAGTAGGTGGTCATCTAGCTTACGTTTTGGGCTCTTTTGAGAAGATACCTAAACACTCTGCTTTGCATTTTTGTTTTATGTTGTATGCCGAGTAAGTAGGAAGACCCATGGAAACTTACACAGATAAATTACTTACATCATGTAAGACATCACAGCATGAATCTCTTTATTGCTGCTCTGGGAAGGGGAGGGAATAGAACCAATTATGTGAGACAGCTTGAAAAAGTACTGAATCAAGATATACATATATTTCAGCAGTTGTGTTACAGGATTCATATAGGTATATTTGGCACTGGAATACAATGTTAGTATTGTTCTGGGTTAAGAAAAAAAGAGCTAATGCTTATGCAAGCCTGATTTTTAAAACTGACACTTGGGAAGTCTGGGCAATATGTTAAGTGGCTCACTAACGAGTTCACTCACAGCTGAAGTGTAGTTGTTGACCAGCCTTCTGTGTCTGATGTCTACTCTTTCAGAAGAAAGTATTTGTTACATGGTGTCCATCATATCACCTATGTAATTTTCTCCAGCCACTCTTTAAAAAGCTTCACTTCACATCCGCCTAAGGTTTGGATATCACGTTCCTGTGAAGAATGAGGCATCTTTCCTCCACCTACTTCCCACCTGCTCCATCTGTGTTGCTAAGGGGATAGCAAAAAGCTGTGCAAATGACTGAATTTCAGTTTGATTGCAATTCCAAAAAAGTAAAAAGTAATGTGCCACACGTTCAAACTTTCAAAATCAGATTCATATATGTTCTAGAAAATTTCAAGATAACAGAGTTTCCATTTGTGGAAATCAGACGGTTTTATTTAATTAGTATCTTAATTAAAAAGTTTGGAAACAGCAGCGCATCAAGAAATGTGTTTCATTTAGCCAGTTTCTTGTTTTTTGTTCTTTTTTTTTCTCCTTTAAAGACCTTAGTTATCAAAGTGCTAGTCTGTAATTGCTTTGCAGTCCTTTTTTCACACAGGTACTGGGTAGTTGGATTGTTAATACTGGAATTCTCTTTTTCTCAGTGCCATTATGCATTTTTGTTCCAAAATTGTCCTATGGTAGTAAACTGTTGTGGGACAGGTTGCAAACACTTGAATTACAGAATCACAGAATCACCTGGGTTGGAAGGGACCTCAAGGATCATGTAGTTCCAACCCCCCTGCCTAGCAGGGCCACCAAACATACACATTTAGATCAGGTTGCCCAGGACCCCGTCCAACCTGGCCTTGAACACGTCCAAGGATGGGGCATCCACAACCTCCCTGGGCAGCCCATTCCAGGGCCTAACCTCTCTCCTTGTAAAGAACTTCCCCCTAACATCCAACCTAAATCTTCCCTCCTTCAACTTGGATCCATTTCCCCTAATCCTGCTATTGTTAGCCCTTTTGAAGAGTTTACTCCCCTCTTGGGTGTAGGTTCCCTTCAGGTATTGATAGGCTGCAATGAGGTCACCCCGCAGCCTTCTCTTCTCCAGGCTGAACAAGCCCAACTCCCTCAGCCTGTCCTCATAGGGGAGGTGCTCCAGCCCCCTGTTCATCTTAGTCGCCCTCCTCTGGACCCTTTCCAAAATCTCTATGTCTTTCTTGTACTGAGGGCTCCACACCTGGACACAGTACTCCAGGTGGGGCCTCACAAGAGCCGAGTAGAGAGGGACAATCACCTCCCTGTCCCTGCTGGCCACCCCTCTCCTGATGGAGCCCAGGATCCCATTTGCCTTTCGAGCTGCCAGAGCGCACTGCTGGCTCATATTCAGTCTCTCATCCATCAGGACCCCCAGGTCCTTCTCTGCCGAGCTGCTCTCAAGGACCACTTCTCCCAGCCTGTACAGGTGCCTGGGGTTCTTCCGGCCCAAATGCAAAACCTTGCACTTTGCCGTGTTGAACCTCATTAGGTTCACCCTAGCCCAGCTTTCCAGCCTGTCGAGGTCCCTCTGAATGGCATCCCTTCCTTCCACCGTATCAACCGCATACTCAGCTTGGTGTCATCAGCAAACTTGCTGAGGGTGCACTCAATTCCCTCATCGCAGTTGTTTTGCAATATGTACGTGTATTCTAAGAGCTTAGAAGAGAGACCTTCATATTACACTTGGTGCGACCAATTATATCATCTCAGCACAAAGCAGCTTTGAGTAGAAAATGAACCCAAAATAAGGACAGTTATGGCAGAGTTATTGAGTCAGAGCCGCTAAGCTCTGCTGACTGTGCTGTGCTAATTAATCTGTACAGCTTTTCTTCTGCTTACTGAGTGATATTTTTGCAATGGTGTGTGATCTATTTTTTTCCATCTTGTATTATAAAATGTTATTTTTCTTTTCCTATCAAAAACTGTATCTAAATACATTTTTTTTAATTGTAGACAGGTATTTTTCCCTTTTTTCAGGGATGCTCGGTATTAAATAATGCTGGAGCCATTAGTTCTGTCCTCTGTGTTAATGTTAATATATTTAATATGCATTATAATTAATTTCACTTAGCGAGAGTTTAAAAAGAAAATGTATATAAGTTGAATAAATCAGAACCCCAGGATATCTGCTTTCAGTTCTTTCTCTATTAACAAATACTGTATTTCAACAAGGAGTGTTGGTTATCTTCTGAATGTTCATATGTGATCTGGAACTCTACCACCCAGGAAGACAAATTTGGTGTCTAGTTGTATTTGGGTTTTGACTGCCACAGAGAACAGAAGCACATTGCAGGGTGCTGGTGTGCTTCGGAATTCATGCTTTCTAATAGGTTTTTAAGGAGTAGTCAATTATGTATAGAAAATCTATGAGGGACGCCATATGTTTTATGTAATGATATTTTAAGCTTTTTTCCATTCTGGAAAATAGCATGGAAGGTAACAGCTTTTCTGCATCAAAATGACAGCTCTGATTTATTTGAGTGACTTTTTTTTAACAAAATTGTTGTAGTTTAGGTGAGAGAACTGCCATCTGTGTCTGTTTCTTACTGTCCAAAAGAAGTTTACATTTGAAATACATCAAGGTAGATTATGAGACGCAATGATAAATACACTAGCTTTAATCTGAAATGTGCTTGCTTTTCAAGTAGGTTGAATACTTTACTTTCAAATTACAAACTTACAGATCACTGTTTTACTGCATTGATTTATACCTTTAATAATATTTTTTTTTCCTTCGGTTTTTTGTTTGTTTTAAAATGCCATGAGCTTTTTATCATCCTGTAGTGCTTTCTTGAGAGTTGTAAAAGGCAGGTGGAAGAAATGCAAGCAGTTCCAGGTGCAGGAGCAATTGGTGAGACTGGTGCTGCCCTCCTTCAAGAGTTAAGGGATGGAAACTGTGTGTGAGAAATAAGTGGCTGAAAAGCACTAAGCTTCCAACAAGCTATTTAGTGTGTCCATTGAGTTAAACTTAAATAAATGATCAAATCATCTGATATAATATCCTGCATGCTCTTGTTAACAGGCTATTGTAATTCTACTTAGAAATGTGGTGTTTTGTTCTTTTTTTTTTTTTTTTTTTTTGGCCCAGAAAAGCATTCAGTTTGTCTGTGAAAGCGTAGAATTAATCCACTGAAAGTTTATTTTAATGGTCAGACAGCTTTACAGGTAAACCTGTGCTTGTAATTTTTTTGCAGAGATGGGCATGTGATGAGGTTCACTTTGCCCATGAGGACGGGGCTGTTATGCAGTGCCATGCAGTCTGTACGCGTGATATTTTCCCAGCTGAGTCCAGTAACTGAAGGCTCTGAAGAACACTGATTAGATCCCTTCTCTGTACATGTTTACTGCAATGATTTTGCAGATCTCACTCTTAAACTGCATTTGTTGAGAGCAAGAAAGATGTTTTTGAAGTCTGCGTTTTAGGAAGGAAATGGAAGTATTTGCTGTGACCAGCAAGGCAAAAGTTCAGTGGGCCCTCAGATAAAAAGAGCACGGGGCTCATGTTCCTTTAGTAGCTAACATAAAGCAGAATTGCGAAGCAGCTCTTTCTTTGATGTCTTTGAAGCTATTTGCAGTGGTTGCCTATGATCAATAAACTTTTGACTTGCTGCTGGGAGTCTGTTTGGGGCTGATGGAAGGCAGCTGCATTGAAAGGTCGTTCATAATTTGTTGAGTCATTCGTTCTCATCGTATATTCTTATACTATTCTTATACTGTTAACAGTACAAGAATATAAAAGTATTGTAGTTCTTAAAGTGTTTTGTAGCCTTTCTAGCCATTACCCCGACATAAAAATATAGCTGCAGCAAAGATTAATGTATCAAATAGAGGGATCAAAATAAATATTTAACTTATGTAGCTTACTTTGGAGACAGGTTTTATGTTTGTGCCCTTACTTCAAGTTGGAGAAAATGTATTGTCTTTTGATGAAACCAAGAAATGAATCTTTATGTAAACTGGCAAGTGTCTTCTGTGTGTGCAGGAAGCATGATGCTGGTCAGTCCGGTTCATTTCCACTTCACATGGAGGATAGCAAAGATCTTGTTCAGGAGATGTGATACTCTGCAAACGAGATAAGTGGGAATTACTGAAAAGCAGCTCAGCGGATCTGTGTGCATGTATCCATCATTTAGGGTAAAGGTTAATGTGAGCTGAAGCCTCCCTGGATTTACAAGCTTAGACTGTAAGACCAGGTATAAAAGAGAAGTTGTAGTAGGTGCAGAAGGGAGGAACAGTGAGACAGAATCTGTAGTGGGACCAAGTACATTGCTTTCTCTCTGAGAAACTTTTTAAGAAAAGGGTTCTGCTGTCCTAAAAAAAAAAAAAAAAAACTACCATACAAACTTGTCTATTTTGTGCTGGGCTGTGCAAAGAATTTCTGCTAGGAGGTATGGAACTGAAACTTACAGGTTTTATCTGTCAGCATCTGTGATAATTGAGGCTACATCTGCACTGAGCTAACTAGGACCTGTGATTCTGCCCTGAGAATGCAACCAGCTGACTCATGACAGAATCAGGTGTATAAGATTTATATCATGTAACCAGTGGACCTGTTTGTGAAAATCACTTGGAAGATGTCATTTTAGGAAGGTAAGCGTACTTGGTAGTCCCGTGCATGAATGTGCTGTGTTAAGTATTCTTTGTTGCTAGAACACACAAGGTTGCATTGTTACCACACAGCCTGCAGGCTGTTGGAGAGGCAGTTGAGTGGGCAGCAACATTTGGTCAAGAAGCTGCTCAAGGTGCTGTCGACCTTTCACCTGTGTCTTAGAGGGTTGCTTGTCTCTGCCTGTGTTTGGCGGGGTTGTGTGTTTAGTTATGAAATGCCTTCTGTGGACTGAGACACACACTCAGCTTTCCCAGCTCAGAGGCCAGGAAGTGGGGCCCTGATTGACTTTCACAGCTATGCAATTTGAAGTCGTGTAATGTTACTAATTAAACTACAAGCTATGTAATCTAGGAGGTACCTTGGAATAAGGAATCTGTCTGGATGGAAAATGCTGAAGACTTGTGTGGGCAGTGTAGTAGGACCTGTGCAAAAACCCCCGATCCAAAATTTTCCATCCAAAATCCACTGGTTTTGCCTTGAGTAACTTCTGGATTTGTAACAGTTCTACTGCTTAATAAGCATGCTACTTAGTCAGATATTTTAAGTATTACAACTAATGTGTCATCGTTGTATCTACTTTATTCAGTATAAAGATACATTTGCAGAAAATGAGTCCATCTAAACTAGTTTAATTTGTTAGTGTTGGTTTTGCTTTCCCACTGTTGGAATTTGTGCTGGAGGTAGTGGAACAGATAGGTACATAAAATTAATAGAAAAGTAGATAGGTAATTTGTAGGTGTTACAGGCACGTCTGTGTGAATTTAATGTGCATAGTACACCTTTGATATTTTAAGGTCCTCATTGAGTATTAATTCATAGGCTGTAAACCAGAAATAAGGATAAGGATTTTTTTTTCTGATTAAAATTTAAATTCTTGATTCAATTTTAAAACCTTCACAGCTAGCTACTTGTCATGGCTTGTGAAACTTGCCTGCCTCCCTTTGGTAAGCATGAAGAATTTATACCACCTTTTGCTTTTTGGAAGATACAGCAGTGTTGGTGCTTTTGTATTCAGAAATGCATTTTCACATTTAATCGGTCAGTTGCAGTCGGCTTTCACAAAAGCATTTCTTTGCTCATATTGATAGCTGAGGGTTAAGGTTTTCTGTTTATGCTTTTTAATAATTTTTATTATTTTTATTTGTAATTTTTAATAATGCTTTTTATTTCAGTCCCTTTTCTTTTGCTGTGAAGCTCGTATGAAAATTAAGGGTACTACAAAAATTTATATATGGTATTTGTCTTAATTTTATGATCATTTCACTTTGAAAAGTACTCGTAGAAATTGTTGATCAATGTGGGACATGATATGACTTTCCATATTTGTTTCCAGTTTCAGGTCTGTCCAAAAAGTTTGTGTGTTTCAACTCCTGGGCATCGAACTGATCTCTTCCAGCGAGACCCTCAAAATGTTCTGATAACAGACTTCTTTGGCAGCGTAAGAAAAGTGGAAATTACTACAGAGACAATTGCTTTGGACCGTAATTTAGCTGGCTTTGAAAGCGAGTGAGTAGTCATTATCTATTATATTTCGTATATTATTTAGCTTTGTTCAGCAGAAACAAAACTGCCTTATAACTGTCACGGGAAGAAAAACTTTGTTTTCTGTGAAAGGACCAAGGAGTCAGTATGGACTGTTACTACTGATAAAATGGAGATTTGTCAGCAGAGAGCATTCTGTTTAAGAAAAATTCCCACTCCTTCATTCCATCTTCCAAGTAAATACTTCTAAAGACCAAGGTGTGGCTATCACCATCAACAGCAAAGAAAGTAGTCTAAAATTTTCTTTCTTCTTTAATAGTTTAATGTGCAGAGACATTTTAATTTTTATTTTTATAGTAGTTTACTCCTTCTGGTAAGCTCTGAGTTCAAAGCATGGGTTGTTTCATTAATGTTTTCTTAATAAATGCTCTGTTTCTATTCTGCAAATTCTCTGCCTTTTGGCTTTAACTGTCCAGAGAATTTCAGTTGCAGAGATGTAATGATTTACCTGAATAACACTGCTGGTGCAAATTTGCTGGTAGAGTTAATAGGGATTCTAATTCTTTGTGGATGAAGAAGGAATTATAAACTCCTTTATATTTTTGGTATTCTGTTGCCACCTATTGGAAACATGTAAAGGAAGATGTGCTTGTACAGCAGTTTATTTGGCATTGTACTGCCATTTCTGATGCATATTTTAGCTTTCACAATACTTTCCTCTAGGAGAGAAGAAAGAAAAAATTGTCAACTCTAACCAAGATTGTAAGATTTTTTTCAAACTCATAAATTCATGTGAATTAATATTAACTATCACTCAGATAAATTAAGTTGTTAGTGGATATCAAGTTTATTAATTTTAAAGATAATGCTAGCTCTGGCCCTTGTAATTAACACTATCCTACACTAAGTCCAGTGTACTATTTTATACTTTAGTTTCATGCTGTGCTTTTAACTATATTGTGCATGGTAGTACTAACCATACACAAATTAAATAATTCTTTGCTTAATTCAGAACAATTTAATGAAGCTAGATTTTCTTTTGCCTCTGAAATAAAAAACAGTTTTTGCTAGGACACCATGTGGGATTCTAGTTTGTGGAAAATTTAAAGGAGATCAGGTTTTAGACTTCTTAATTTCAGAGCTGCAAATTATATACCCTCCTTTTCAATTAAATGTAATAGTGAGATATTCTTGTTATGAAATCTTCTAATTAAATGTTATTTTGCTTTTAGAATACTAACAGTAAGTGAACTTTTTGTAAGGTTACTTTGTTACCTACGAGAATGCTGGATTATGAATTGTACAGGATGCTTTCTTGGACCACCTCAATACCTCATTTGCTGTTTTTTCCTATGCAGCTTTCAGAATGAGCTAGGATGTTTTGCTGTTAGGATGAAAGATCATTGTTTTTTGCTTTTTGGTTTTTTTTTTCCTTCAATGTATAGTGAAGATACTATTTTCATTTTATTTTATATTGATGCCAAATGTTAAAATAATTTTTTAATGAATTTTCACCTTAATCCACAAAAAACAGAATTTAATGATCTTTCCAAACCAGTCATAAATAATCTTGTTTGTGCTTAATAGTGTTTCTAAAAGCCTTTGTGAAAGCAGAAATGGAACTTGCACTCCTTTGGAATTTGCCTTAAAATAAACACGCATTTGCCAGGAGGTGTCTGATACAGGAATCAGAAATCTGTTCCCCCTAATACAAATGTTGATGTGTTACTCAGGTCACTGTGAATCTGTGCTCGCTGCTCTTTTTCTGAGAAAATCTGTGCAGAATTTTGAATCTTTTCCTTGTTCTGAATTGTATTTGTGTCATTTTTGTTTAAAAGATATTTTGCAGTGTTATTTTATTTTTAACATTTGATGTGTTCTCTTTTGTTCCTTCTTTTTTGAATCATTTTCAAGCTTTTTCCTTCTGCTCTTACATATTGGTGGCAGTAGAGTGCTACAAAATATTTGTGTTAGGGAGAAAAACGGAAACAAAGTAGGGACCCCAGCTTTGATCTGGTCATTAGCGAGTGTTAGATTGGAATTGTTTTTGTTATGAAGTTGCAAGGGTCAACGTGTGCAGCTAAGCATGTTGCTTGAAACACAGCAACCAAACAAAACCACGGACTGCACAGATAATGGGCAGAGAAGATGCTGCTGTGTGATATGACCGTGCCTTGGAATTGTGCTGTTTTCAGGCAGGGCGAGGTTTCAGCTAACTCACTGTGCTGTGACTTTGCCAAATCTTTCCATAGATCTCATTTCTTCTGTTGCATGGTTCTTTAGCAATTACTTTGCAGTGTGGCTCAGTGCAAGCTCAGCACAAGCAGTTCCTGCACTGCGAGGTCAGTGTCTGATGGTGATACCAGCTCTGGTAGTCCCAGTGCAGCCTTAGGAGTTTCCTTTGCTTGAGCTGAGCTCATATAAAGAAACAACAACTAGATAACCAAAAGGCGAAGCTTTCTTTCTATCTGTTTAGTAGTTGGTGACTATTTCAGACTAAAAGCTTTAAAATTGAGGTGGAAAAAAGGAATCCCCTGCCCTTTATATTTTATATTGATGCTAAATACTACTTCATAGTAGTTTCATCTAAGCTATGTTCACTTCAGAGGGTTTCTTCCTGACTGGGCCTGTAGCTGCAACCTTCAAAACCTGGATGACATTCATGGACCCTGGGGCACTGGCTGTTATGTGTGTGTCTAAATCACTGTAAGAGCATAACGTGAACATGAAGAACAAGATGGTGAGTCTTGGAGACAGGTCTGTGTGGAGCTGAGCACTGCTGATCAGTGTGGGGTGTCTCAGCCTCGGATTGTGGCTGTACAGCATGTTAGATCACCTCTTGCTGCTCCTGTCATGAGGAAAAGTTGTGTAACAGAGAAAGCATTGGGAAAAATGAGGGGTTAATGTTTCCCTAAAGGTAGAAGAAGATGAATTAAAGAGAGCATCATATAAAACCATCCTAGTTTCATTGCTTTTGAGGTTTGGGCTTCAGATTTATTAATTGTGCTGGGCTGAATTGTGCATTACTCCCAGGGGCTGTTGTCCTAAAACTGAAGAGTTCTAACTAAACCACTTGGCGTAGGAAGGGTGCTTGTGTGATAGAGAATAATTGTGAGTGATTGGTTTATTTGCAATACACTACTACCAAAGCTGTCTCCCATCCATTTTTTGATAGTAACTCTTTATTTCTGTTTCCTGTTCTTCTTTTCTACTGGCTATTTTCAGTTTTATGCGCTTGATGGGTGCAGCTGCTGTTGTGTATTCCTGAATACAAAGGGATCCAGTTTGTGAACAAATATGTAATTTGTTTTGGCTGGTAGATGCTGCTCAGCGCAGTGAACTTCTCCTAAAATAGCAGAGGCTGTGTTTGTTCAGAGGTTGCTGTTAATTTTTGACCAGGTGCCTCTGTTTGGAGATCACCATTAATTTCTGATTAGGCGCTCGCAGAGGCAGGCGGGCGCCGGGAGGTGGCAGCAGCGCGAAGGCAGCTGGGCCGTGCCGGGATGGCAGTGGCTTTGGGTTGGGTTCCTTTTCCCCTTTATTTGATCAGCTTTAGAGTGAAATTAAATGAGGAGAGGAAGAAGGAGTTGAATTATTATTATTATTATTATTTATTCAGTGTAAATTCTGGAGAGGCTCTGTTTTTATTTTACACTTGCTGGACATCAGCACACATGAAGCATGCTCATCAGTTATGCATGTAGTATACTTTCCCTTAATGCCTTAGCATTACAACAAAATGAATTCATAATTGTGGATGTTCTTAATCCGTAAGTGGCTTAATAGCCTACAACTAATTTAGAGAGTTTGAAGAAGTAATAGGCAGTTAAATATTACTGCTGTATTTCTTAAAGTATTTTGTAAATACATTTATTTTTCTCTGCTTGCCTGGGAGAGGATAAATATGTGTGTATATATGTGCATGTACACACACTACTGTGTTTGCAAATGTAAAAGATAAATTCAAGGTAAGACGATTGCAATGGCAATAGTAGAAGAAGTTCTATGGAAAGGTTGCTCCAAAAATAACGCTTCCTATTTTATTATTTTGGCCTGTAACATCAGGGGTGAGTGTTGATGGCACGGAAGTAGAGGTTGAACCTTCCCACCACTATCCCATTACATTTTATTGCTGTGCAACAGATGGCAGCAGAGGGGAAGTCTGACAGAATGGTGACCTGCACTGTGTATTATATGGTAGGATACATTTTCACTAGTGTAACATGACTATAAAATAGAAAAGGATGACTGCCAATATCAAAAGGAACTGCTAGCTATAAATTGTCTTGGGAAAACCTTAAAAACACAAAAATATTATGCTTGGTTATTGTGCTCCCTGTTTAGCAGTAAAAAGCAGAGTTGAAGTTGAGTAATAGATTTTTTTAAATTTTTTTACTAATTTAAAATATTTTTGATGATAATTTTTACCAGAGATTTTTGCTGTTCATAAGAAAATGTGTTTTCTTGCACAACTGTAGTTTGACTCAGGTTTTCTTTAATCTTGGATGTATTTCCCCTTCTTCTACCTTTAGTGGAGTTTATAGGGCATCCTGCATTTGTTCTGTGACAAAGCTTTAATTATTACTACTAGGCTGTGCTGTGATCATTTTGTGCATTTCCAGTTGAATGCTACTCTGCTGAACCTATGTGCATAGAGTTTAAATAGGCATTGACATACAAAAAAAGAAAACTGTTGATCTGCAGAGTTGCTGTGTACTGTGAATGCCCCACAAAGGTCACTTTAGATAAGGACTAAAGTACATAACAGTTAATGGCAATCTTTCTATTAACTTCAAACTTGTTCTTTGTAAGTGACTTTGATCTGCAAATTGACTTATGTATTATAATAGTTTCAGGTACTAGACAGGTAATGACTAAATTAGTTGGATGTCAGATTTCAAAGGAGTCCTTCAGTAAATTTAGCAGATTTTAACATTTTAAATAGCTGAGAATATCTAGGAATCTCAGGATCTTCAGTCTAGATTATTTTTCAGTGTTTATCTATTCCTTTTTACATCTTTATA